GGCAAAAAAAATGCTAGGATTTAAAAACAAAAACCTAACAAAAATGCTATGATTTTAAGTTTTAAAAGTTCTGGAACTTAAAAATCAGACAGCTAGTCACATAAGGGAGAAAGCTAATCAGGAAAAGGAGACTGCAGTAGAAATGCTACAGGGGAACACAAGTGGGACTGAAATCCTTGCAAAGAGATGCTGAATATAGTGTGAAAAAGTTCTAGGACAAGACAAGTTACAATTTTACCAACACTAGTAGCAAACAAAACCTAAGGGTAAAAATCACAATTTAAAATTATTAACAAAAGACTTCTTCCTAGATCAAAGCCATAACAATGTTATCTCATACTATTTTTTAAATAAGAGTTAAGCATATGCACTTTTAAAATGTCAGTAAGGACTAAGTCTACCTTCTAAGCCAAAAAAAATTTCATACAGTAAAAAAGTGGAGGCAATTTGTTTTCCCGTAGAAACTAAAATACAGTACTCTCAGATATAGCCAGTGTTCTAAAAACCAATATGGTCAATCCATAGAATGGGAGCAAATATTTTCAAATCATGTATTCCATATAAGAGCTGTATCTAGTATAAGTGGCCAATAAGCACACAGAAAGATACTCAATACCATGATGAAAATGCAAATCAGATAACCACTTCACACTCAACCAGCATGCTATAATGTAAAAGAGACAAATTTTAAGTATTAAGGATGAGATGAAAGATGTGGAGAAATTCTAACTGTTGTACACGGCTGGTGGGAATGTAAATGTAAATGTACAGCTGCTTAGGAAAACAGCCTGGCAGTTCCTCAAAAAGTTAACAGCAGTTTGACTCCTAAGTATATACCAAGATAAATGAAAATCCTGAGCATGAAAGTTTACAGCAGCATTGTTCATAATACTCCCAAAGTAGAAAGAGCCCAAATGTTCATCAACTGATGAATGCACAAAATGTGGTATTAATCACAGTATCATTCTACAAAAAAACTAACTTAAACACTCATGCATCTACAGCATGAACTGTGAAAACATTATGTTAAGTATAAATGTTTAAAAAAAAACCCCACGTTTTATGATTCCATTTATATGAAATATCCAGGATAGCAAATTTATAGAAAGATTAATGGTCAGCTAGGAAAGTTTAGAGAGGAGATGGGGAATCACTGCTAACGGGGTCAGGTTTATTTCCAGGGTGATGAAAATGTTCTAAAGTTGATTGTGGTGATGTGCGTAATTCTGTTAGTATACTAAACAGCACTGAATCTATATACTTTAAATGAGTGAACGGTATGGTATCTTAATTGAAGTATAGTTTAGTGAAATTTTTTAATTGTATAGTGAATTTTTTTTAATTGAAGTATAGTTAACAACGTTATGTTAGTTTCAGGTGTACACAAATTATGTCTTAATGTGGTTTTAAAAAACCACTGTGGGCTACAAAGTACAACATGGGATACGTTCCAAGATCCCCAGTGGATGCCTGAAACCACAGATAGTACTGAAACCTATATATACATACATACCTATGATGAAGTACTTGACAAATTAGGCATAGTAAGAGGTTAAGAGCAATAAAACAATTATAATATATTGTAATAAAAGTTACGTGAATGTGGTCTCACTCTTCACCCATTCACCTGTGAGGTGAATGACGTACGCACTGTGATGCAGCATTAGCTAGTACTGAGCTTCTGGCAATATATCAGGAGGAGGATCATTTCCTTCAGGACGAAGGCTGACTGTGGAAAGCAAAACTGTGGATAAAGGGGAACTGTACAACAAATCTAATCAGACAATAATTTTATTCTAATCCTTCTGAGGTATAATTGCTTTTTAAAAATAACTAACACAAATTCAGTTGCCTCACCCAGTTCATTCTCCTCTGCCCAATAAAACGCCACACTTCTTGCCTCCTTTAACCAGCCCTTACAAGATGACTTCAGTACTACTTGAACAAAGGCACAGCCTGAGTATACTCAGGAGCCTGGGTGTGTGCAGTCTGGATCTGACCATCACCAACCTACCTTTACTCACTTCTTAACTACCCAAGAATGCTGTGCAAACCTGAGTAGTTTTTAAAGGAGCAATTTCAGATCCAAAACATAAACGTAGATTTAACTTTTCCCAATTCCCTATTGCCTTCAACTTAAACCTCTTTTGTTATTGAGTGAAGGGTCTACATTCCTGGTATTTACACTCATTTTTGAGAAATGCCTTGCTTTCCACTATCAACAATGAAACACAGTTAGAAAAGCATGTGAGGAAAATGGGTCAAGATTGAAGAATGACTTTCCAGTCAATTCTCTATGAACTGGTCAGAGTCATTATTTCATAAAAATAAATTTGATTGTGTTACGCCTTGATGAAAACTTTAGAGTGGCTCCATACTGCTTTTAGGGCAAAATTCAAACTCCTTGGTAGGATGCAGAAGGCCAGCCCCAAATTTTGCTTACTTTTTCAACCTCATCTCTCATGACTCTTGGTCCAGAAAACTAGGCTGACTCTTCCTCCCTGCCCCTGGGGCTCCTGGAACATATAGTTCTCTTTACCTAGGACAAAGCTGAGTACTCCTGCAATGGTCCACCTTGTATATAATGATAGCTGCTTATCTAGGGAGACAAGGGGTATTAATCATGTCTTTCTTTATCTCAATCACCCATTAAAACTGTTGGCAAAAACAAACAAACAAACAAACAAAAAACAACCCACTTAATAAATGTTTGTTGAATAAATAACTGAGGAGGGACATGTGAATTGGGGAGGATTCCAAAAGGCAGAAAAAGCCGACAAATGAAAGGAAAGAGTTAAAGTTTTGAGCCTGGAGTATCTTGAAGAACTGAGGCTTTAACAGAAAGGAAGATTTAAGAAGATCTAGTAAGAGGAAATGAAGTAGTTTGGTTTTGGAAATATTTCATGCAGGGCGCCTGGGTGGCTCAGTTGGTTAAGCGACTGCCTTCGGCTCAGGTCATGATCCCAGGGTCCTGGGATTGAGCCCCACCATCGGGCTCCCTGCTGGGCAGGGGGCCTGCTTCTCCCTCTCCCTTCTGCCGCTCTTACTGCTTGTGCTCTCCTGCTCTCTCTCTGTCAAATAAATAAAATCTTTAAAAAAAAAAAGAAAGAAAAGAAAAAGAAAAAAGAAATATTTCGTGCATACTGTGTCAGCCCAAAAAAGTGACTTTATTTTTTCAAAAATGCCTTAATAAAATAATGATACAATAAATTATTAATTATCTCAAATGAAAACAAGGGGAAACAATCCAAAATTTATATAATGATTCAAATATTTTTCATCTCTGAAATATTTTTTTTTTTTTTAAGATTTTATTTATTTATTTGTGTGAGAGAGAATGAGAGAGAGCACATGAGAGAGGGGTGGGTCAGAGGGAGAAGCAGGCTCCCTGCCGAGCAGGGAGCCCGATGTGGGACTCGATCCAGGGACTCCGGGATCATGACCTGAGCCGAAGGCAGTCGCTTAACCAACTGAGCCACCCAGGCGCCCTCATCTCTGAAATATTTTTTAACTCTTGGCACAAAAGGCACAAACTGAATAATTGTGCCTAAACCATAAAGTCCTACTATATGCAATCTAGAACACCCTTTTAGGTTCATCCCTAACACCAGCTTTAATCTTCATTCACTTTTAAAACTAGAGTTGAGACCCCTGAACAACATGAAGATTTGCTGCTTCTAATACTTAGGAAAACTATCAGCAAAAGACCAATGTAGATATTTGAGTACCCTTTCATGAAAAGCAATCTGTTCTGGCCCAATTTAATAATAAAACATAAAATGTTTTATAGCATTTAAAAAATAATGGCCTGGAGGAAACGAAAAATAGTATACATCTAATGGTTTCACTATTTTCACCAAGACATGGGCATCAATGGTATATTCCGTGTTGCACTGGGCAGTATGAGTATGAATACTAAAACCATTGAAGAACAGGGTGACCATGAAACAAAGTGGTTAGGTTTTTCCTTTTTTAAGATTTTTTTTTTTTAAAGATTTTATTTATTTATTTGACAGAGAGAGACACAGTGTGAGAGGGAACACAAGCAGGGGGAGTGGGAGAGGGAGAAGCAGGCCTCCTGCGGAGCAGGGAGCCCGATGTGGGGCTTGATCCCAGGACCCTGGGATCATGACCTGAGCCCAAGGCAGACGCTTAACGACTGAGCCACCCAAGCACCCCCTTTTTTTTAAGATTTTATTTATGACAGAGAGAGAGAGCATGCACACATGAGTGGGGGAGAATCCCATGCAGACTCCATACTGAGCTCAACGTGGTGCTCAATCCCATGACCACGAGACAACCAGCCAAAATCAAGAGCTGGACGCTCAACTGACTGAGCTATCCAGACACCCGAAACATGGTTAATTTTTAAAAGATCACTTTAGATATATTTTACATAAGTTTATCAGCAACCTCTTCAAGGATTTCTAAAACTATTCTTTTTTGGAGGGGTATTCATGAAGAGGTTTAAGAAAACTGGACCTCTGCTAAGGATCTCTCCTGTTTTATGTTCCAGTAGGAATAAAAAGGGAAGCTCCAAAAGGTAATGGTTTGAGTATAATATAATCAATTCTAACAAAATTCTACGGCCTTAAGATTTTTCTATATTTCTCTGGGCACTGAAACTTTCTTAATAAAGCTATGAACCTTATAGTACAAAAAAAGTTTAAAGACAACAAGGAAATTCTAATGTCAACCTCCTTTTTAAGAGTGCACTACTGCCTACAGCCACCCTGTGATGCTGCGAGAGTACCTCGAACGTCTCCCTCCCCTCTCTCTCCCCCTCCTCTGTCTCTCCCTCCCCTCTCTCTCCCCCTCCTCTGTCTCTTACCGGCAACTCCAAGGACAGGCTCCATCATGACTGTTATCATCTCACGTAAACAATGCAAAATTAACAACAGCCTGCAGTGTCAGAAAAATGCCAGTCTTGTACAAAGATAAAAAACAAATCACACATCATCTTTTTAAATTTTATATATATTTTTGATGGTTTTTGTTACCTCTTCTTTCAGTGCATGTTTCCTCTGTTCCAAACAGATCTCTTTCGCTCTCATCATCTGCAGAGTCTCCTTAGAAACTGCATACTGGAGTTTTTCCATACGTTCTGCAGCTGCTGCCCACGATGCTTTACCAAATTTCTTCTGATCTGCTCTCATTCGATCATACACAGCTATTAATTATAATTTTGTAGAGACATTAAGACACAAGACAACTTGATACTAAAGAATTTCAAAGTTTTAGATCTCGCTGACCACATACATAATGATAAACAAATAAATCCTACTCCCTTAAGTTACCTCTTAGCAGCTCGAAAATATAACTCAACATATCTTAGCTTCTATTATCTTCAATAAGAATCCTAAATAATCATCAGAAATAACTTTGTGAAGATAAAAACTGAGTTGTCAGATTTTAAAACTTTTATTTTTTTAAAAAAGATTTTACTTATTTATTTGACAGACAGCACAAGCAGGGGGAGCGGCAGGCAGAGGGAGAGGGAGCAGATTCCCCGCTGTGCAAGGAGCCCAATGTGGGGCTCGATCCCAGGACCCTGAGATCATGATCTGAGCCAAAGGCAGACACTTAACCAACTGAGCCACCCAGGCATCCCTCAAAGGTTTTATACATACTTTATAAAGGGTTACACTTTTTCTTGGGTACATTAATTGAAATGAGAGTCCTAACTATTCAAGATTCTTTGAAATTATTTATTTAAATCCATGTGTTAATCTTATCATTCTGAGTTCCTCCAAAAATACTATAATGATCTGATGAAGGGAAAAAAATCCTAGATGTTAGCATGGAGCTTATTCTGAGGTTAGAGTTGGAGCACTACAACCAAGTCCCAGGGAAAACACCCAACTCCCTCTCCCACATGCCCCAAAAAGGGAAAGAAAAAAGTAACTTTTTATTTGCCACAACAGAGCCCTATTTCAAGAGATACTTCTTGACAATCAAACAGCTAGTATCTTTTCCAGTTAAAGAAGCTTATCACTGAGATCCTGGGTCCTATACAATTAAACCAACCATCATTATGCCCAAGCACTTTAACAGGTCAGACACACACATCACAAAAAAGATAGCTATCTGTTTAGCACTGAACTAGTCCGGCTCTTTAAGTCACTTACACGTTCACTAGTAGTATCTTCTATATGTAAATGGTAATTCTGTACTACTATTATGTCCTAACCATCTTTTGCAATGAAGTATATCTCAGTAAATCTTTGTCTCTGAGTTTTATGAAATCTTAAATTTTTTTTTTTTTAAGATTTTATTTATTTATTTTGAGAGAGAGAGAATGAGAGAGAACACATGAGAGGGGATAGGGTCAGAGGGCAAAGCAGACTCCCTGCCGAGCAGGGAGCCCGATGCGGGACTCGATCCAGGGACTCCAGGATCATGACCTGAGCCGAAGGCAGTCGCTTAACCAACTGAGCCACCCAGGCGCCCCTTAAATTTTTTTTTTACAATAATACATGGACATACTTAAAAATTAAATCTGTACAGGCAGGCTGCTAAAGAAAAAGAGCAGTTTCTCGGGCTCAGCTCTCCTCGACCCCTTAATCTCAATGCCCAGATGCAACCAACTTTTGCTTCTGGTGGTTACTTCCATATAAAAATAGTTTTTATAAAACAGTATTCTTTATAAAAACTGACTGTTTCTCAATTTATACAGACTTTAAAAACTATCTGTTGAGTTCCTATAATAACAGATGACGCACTGTGCTGACTTAGATTCTCCTCTCAATATAGTTAAATAGGTTCTTTGGGTTTCAGTTTTTCTGTGGCCTTCAAGTGCTAACATAAAAGGTAATTTTTCAATGCATAATCTTGCTCTGAATCTCGATTTTAGGCTTTTTAACAAAATCTACTCACTGGTTAAATATCAAATGACTTTGCCATTTTAAAGTTCTATCTATCTTTTAAACTGTATATATAGTATTTCTGCAACCATAAGATCAATATAGTAGTACAATGTAGGAAAACAAAAATCAGAGGATTTGGAGTGAAATAATAGAGTTAAATTCCCAATTCCACCTGTAACTGACATGTAACTTTTGGCAAGAAACGTCATTGTTCTGGGGCTCCATTCCCTTGCTTGTGAAAAAAGGACATAGGGTATCTAGTTCAAAAGCTTTTGTGGAAATTAAATGAGATAATGAGAGTTATTTTGTGTGTCTCTTCCACTTCCCATGGCACCAACTCTCTTGCTCTCCACCTTACTGTCAGAAGTAGCTTCCTGTCCTAATTCAGTCTCATGTTGTTACCTACCACAAGAGCTAATCCATACTTTGTCTTCTAATACCTTGGCTAGAACATATTCTTACATCTCAATGTTACTCTCTTCAAGTGGAATTATTTTCCCCAACAGCTCAGAAATACGACAGTGACACAGAAAATTGTTTGTGAATGTAAAATACTTGGAATACCCTTGGGATATCTCTAAAACAGATTCTTCTCTCCCTCTGCTGGCAAGAATAAAGATTCTTGCTAAGGGACCTTTCACATTTTCAGAGTAACAAACTCTATAATAATAGTGTATGATGATCTGTATATGTAAAAAAAAATCTGAGTGCAATATAGTTCTGGTGTTCAAAAAATATCATGTTCAATCTATTTTTTAAAAAGTTTAATATGCTAACATATATACCTGTCAGAAATGAGCCTATTTAAGATGTTATTAAAGTTAAGCAATAGGGGTGGCTGGGTGGTTCAGTCAGTTAAATGTCTGCCTTCGGCTCAGGGCATGGTCCCGGGGTCCTAGGGTTGAGCCTCACATTGGGCTCCCTGCTCAGCGGGGAGCCTGCTTCTCCCTCTCTCTCTCTGCCTGCTGCTCCCCCTGTTTGTGCTCTCTCTCTGTGTCAAATAAATAAATAAAATCTGAAAAGAAAAAAAAAAAAAAGCTAAGCAATAATAGGGGCGCCTGGGTGGCATGGTCAGTTAAACGTCTTGACTCCTGGTTTCAGCCCAGGTAGTGAACTCAGGGTCATGAGATCCAGCCCCACATCCAGCTCTGTGCTCAGCAGAGTCTGCTTGAGATTCTCTCTCCTTCTCTTCTGCCCTTCCTGCTCATGAGCTCACCCCGTTCCTCCCTCCCTATCCCTCTCTAAAATAAATAATCAAATATTTAAAATAAAAGCTAAGCAGTAATATATCAAAATTGTTACATCTGGCTCAGTAAATGAAAAAAAAAATAAAATAAAAGGGCGTCTTTTACTCTTCCTCTAAAAAAAGAAATCAGAAAGTTACCTTCTGGCTGGAAACATAAAGGAGAGCTATTACTATCAGCAGCATAAAGCCACAGAGAGTTCATTCTGTTTCCCTGACATGGGAGGAAGGAAACATACTCAGAAAAGGAAAATAAAGGAAAATTGAACGGCCAAGCAAATATCTCTCTGTTTGGGTTCAAAAGCTTCCTACTAGGATAAAGTCACCAGAAGTGAGATATAAAGAAGTCTACAGTGACTCTAATGAAGAATTTGGAACCCTATAATGATGCCTGTCATATACAAAAATATTTTGCTTAAAATTGGAGAAGTATAAAATAAGAGCAATCATCAAAATTGTATAGAGCCAGAATTATGAACCATATATAAAAATATATACAAAATCACGGCAATTCTGTAATAAGCCATAAATAGAAAAAAAAAACTGATAGAAACACAAAGTGGTTGCATAGGCAGTAGGATTACAGATGTATGTAGGGTTTCCCCCCTCTAATATTCTAAATTTTCTATAATGATTATATATTTCTAAATTTATTTATTTGAGAAAGAGAGAACAAGGGGAGGGGCAGAAAGAGAGGGAGAGAATCTTAAACAGACTCCCACTGAACAAAGAGCCCAACATGGGGCTCGATCCCAGGAACCTGAGATCATGACCTGGGCCCAAATGAAGAGTCAGATGCTTAACTGACTGAACCACCCAGGCACCCCATAATGGTTATGTATTTTTAATCATAATGCAAACTTTTTTTAAACATTAAAGAATGTACCTAGAAAGCACAGAAAGACTCTAAACCAAATAATTTACAGAAAACTATTTCATAAAAATAGTTTACAGTAGGAAAAGACTTTTTTTTTAAAGATTTTATTTATTTATTTGAGAGAGAGAGAATGAGAGAGAGAAAGCACATGGGGGGGAGGGTCAGAGGGAGAAGCAGACTCCCTGCCGAGCAGGGAGCCCAATGACGGCCTCGATCCAGGGACTCCAGGATCATGACCTGAGCAGAAGGCAGTCGCTTAACCAACTGAGCCACCCAGGCGCCCAGGAAAAGACATCTTTAAATGTTAAAAGGAACTATTACTAACATTTTAACGTACTGTTTTTTAATTTATTTTTTAAAATTGTCATAATGCTCTAAGGCAAATATGTTCAAGTAGGACTGCTAGGTCAGACGGTAAGCACATCTTTAACTTACATAAGAAATTGCATTCAGGGGCGGCTGGGTGGCTCAGTTAGTTAAGTGTCTACCTTTGGCTCGGGTCATGATCCCAGAGTCCTGGGATCAAGCCCCATGTCGAGCTCCCTGCTCAGCTCAGAAATTCGGCTTCTCTCTCTCTCTCCCTCTGCCCTCTGCATGTGCTCTCTCTCTTGCTCTATCTCCCTCAAATAAAATCTTAAAAAAAAAAATTGCATTCATTTTCACGAGATTGTACAATTTTGCATTACCACCAGCAATACAGGGAAGGTTCTAGTTACTCTACATCCTTGTCTGCCCTTAATATTGTTAGTATTTTTCTCTTTCAGCCATTCTAACAGGCGTATGTTGCTAACTCACTGTGGTTTTAATGTGCATACTAATGACCAATGGTCTTGAACATCTTTTCCAGTGCTAATTTGCAGAGTAAATGGCCATGTATTGTGAATTTATTTCTTATTCTCTATTCTATTCCATTGGTTCACATGTCTATCCCTTCCATAATACCATGCCACAGTGGCTCTATAATTTGTAAAGTCAGGTAACGTGATTCCGTTTTTCTTTTTTTCTAAACTGTTTTTTTAGGTATCTTAGTTCCTTTGCCCTTCCATGTAAAATTAGAATCAGCCTGCTTACATTTATAGGAAAAAGTCCTGCTTTTTGGTAGGCAGTGTGTTAAATCTACAGATCACTTTGGAGAGAACAGACATCATTACTATGTTGGACGTTCCAATACATGAACACAACATGTCTATCCATTTACTTAGGTTTGTGGTTTCTTCATCTTGTTAATCTAATCGTAAGCATTACAAATCCTGTACGTGTTTTGTCAGACTTATTATAAATGGAATTTTAAAAAAATTTTCTATTTCCAACTATTCATTGCTTATATAAAGAGGATTCATTTTTGGGTTGTTGACCATATTTCCTGTTATCCTGAGAAAGTCACTTGGTAGTTGGAAGTTTTTAAAAATAGATTCCATATAATTTTCAACCTAAACAGTATTATCTAAAATGGGAATTTATTTTTTCCTTTCCGACTATAAGCTTTTTCTTTCTTTTTCTTGCCTTATTACAACTAAAATTTATTTTATTATGTTGAATAAGAGGGGTTAAGAGTAAACATCCTAGACTTTTTACCCATTCTAGGGGGGGAAGCATTCAGTCTTCCACCATTAAATGTGATATTGGCTATAGAGTTCTTGCAGATGTCCTTTACCAAATTTAAAGAAGTTCTTTTCTATTCCTAGTTTCCTGAGTGTTTTCATCACACACAGCAGCACGCTGTATTTCATCAAATGCTTTTTCAGCATCTACTGATATGATTGACCATGCATTTTTTTTTTTTTTTAAGAAGACTAAAGCTTCTCAAACTCAGCACTTTAGACATTCTCAGCCAGAAAATTCTTCTTCGTAGGGTGGCTTGTCCTATGTAACATAGGATGTTTAACATAATCCATGGCCTCTACTGATACTAGTAACCCTCTCAGTAGTAGTTGGGACAAACAAAATGTCTCCAGAGACTGTTAAATGTCCTTTTGTGTGGCACAATCACCTTTAGTTAAAAACCACTGTTGTGGGGCACCTGGGTGGCTCAGTCCTTAAGCATCTGCCTTCAGCTCAGGTCATGATCCCAGGGTCCTGCGACTGAGCCCCGCATTGGGCTCCCTGCTCGGTAGGAAGCCTGCTTCTCCCTCTCCCACTCCCCCTGCTTGTGTTCCCTCTCTCGCTATCTCTCTCTAATAAATAAAATCTTTTTTTTTAAGATTTTATTTATTTATTTGAGAGAGAGAATGAGATAGAGAGCATGAGAGGGGGGAGGGTCAGATGGACAGGGAGAAGCAGACTCCCTGCTGAGCAGGGAGCCCGATGTGGGACTCGATCCCGGGACTCCAGGATCACGACCTAAGCCGAAGGCAGTCGCTTAACCAACTGAGCCACCCAGGCGCCCCTAAATAAATCAAATCTTAAAAAAAAAAAAAAAGAAAAAAGAACTACATTAGTTTGAGAAGAAGTAATTTTTAAAAAAGGATTATAGTACTATCTTCTAGAAGAATAACTGACTAAACACCCAAAAAAATATTGAATAATAATGAGGAGGGGTTAATTGATAAGCTAGGTAATAAATTTCATTATGAAGCTATTATCATTAATCAAAGCATAAGAAAAGACTTATCATTGGAAAAGAGAGTCCAGAAAGAAACCCAAGTATATAAAAGAATTTTACTAGGTTTTAACTATTCTGAGGAATACAGAAACTAACTTTAGAAAATATAAGTAACAATTCAAAGATTTCTTAAAAATCATTCTTAAAAGCTCATAGTTTTTACAAGTAAAATCTGTATACAATAAAAGTTAAAATTTAGGAATAGATATTTGCAACAGATGTCCAAGTGTTAATATAAATATAATAAAAATATCAACAAATATAAGGAGCTTTTATTCATCAACAGAAAAAAATCCACCATACCAAAATAGGCAAAAGGTATTATAACTGGAAAGGAAGGATATGCAAATACCAATTATTACATAAAAAACAAAAAGTAGGGGCGCCTGGGTGGCTCAGTCGTTAAGCGTCTGCCTTCAGCTCAGGTCATGATCCCAGGGTCCTGGGATCGAGCCCCGCATCAGGCTCCCTGCTCCGTGGGAAGCCTGCTTCTCCCTCTCCCATTCCACCTGCGTATTCCCTCTCTCGCTGTGTCTCTCTCTGTCAAATAAATAAATAAAATCTTTAAAAAAAAAAAAAAAAAAAAAAAAAAAAGTACTCCATAATAACCAAGGAAATGCAAAATTTAAAAACACGGTACTAGTTTTCACCTATCAAACTCCTATTTTTATTTTTTTAATGACGATGTCAAATGATGCTAAAGAATCAAAGGGAGCATTCTCCTTTAGCACACTGGCATTCTGAAGGAATAAACTGCTTCAGTACAACTTTTAAGGAAATGTGGATTTCCTGAAGGAATAACCTGAATGCTAAACTGTGTTAATGCCAGGTAGATAATGAAAATAATGAATAGCAGTGATTTTAAACTGCGACTGAAGGATTTCCATGGCCATCTATGGAAGGAAGTTGGAAGGAACGGACCTTCAGAGACCTTGCCCTCTGAATCTCTTCATTTGGCTTGTCTTGATTTTTATCATTTATAAATTATAATCCCAAGTATGTACTTTCCTGAGTTCTGTGAGTCACTGTAGCAAATGATCAAACCTAAAAAGGCTGTGTGAACCCCCAAATTTATCAGTTGGTGAGAAGTGCAGAAGGCCTGGGGACCCTCTAAATTTCCAAGTAGTGTCTTCAATGTGGGCAGTCTCAATGTGAACTGTGCCTTTCAGCTGTGGGGTCTGTAACAGGTTAGTGTCAGAACTGAATTATGTTACACTAACACCCAATTACTATTTTTTAAAGGTGGAGTACGTGTAAACGCATGCCCAGAAAAGACTGAAAGGATCTACTATAATTTGCTAATAGTGATCTTTTTTAACTACTAGGACTATGAGTAGTCTTTATACATTCTTCCACAGAACTCCTGCAAACGTGAAATATTTAAACCACTCATTTTCAAAAACATCTAACAAGGATAACTTTACTAGGAAACTTACCTTTTTGTGCTTTCGCTGTTATTTCAAAGTATTTGACAGTAAGATCCTGAATCGACAGCACAGCCATGTGAGCTTTTCGCTGCCAATCAGCATCTTCTTTTTGTAGACTTTCAATTCTTCGGGGACCCAGATAATCATTCTCCATGGAAATCTTCAGAAAAAAAGAAAAATTAAAAAGCCCATTTCTTTCTTTCTTCATTCATTCCTTAAACATTTACTGAATGTTTAGTTATCAGGCAGGCATTGTGCCTTGTGCTAAAACAAAGAATACTTATTTTCTCTTGCTCTAGAGTATAAGCTATTAATTTACAAAACAAACAAATTAACAGTAACATTAAAGACATTTGACACAGAAATCTGTTCCCCATTCCTCTCTACTTTTTCACCCTTCCCCTCCTTCACGTATAAAAAAGGACATACAGCAAAATGTTAAGATGTTATTTTTGGGTGCTGAGATAACAAGAAATATATTTCCTCCTTTATGATAATTAGATTTTCAGGTTAAGAATTATTTGTGCCACTAAATACTTATTTATAACTGGACATAAATAATTGAAAACTCAGATTTTTAAGACTGGTAATTTATAAAAACCAGCCCGTCTATCTACTAAAGATCTCTGGACAAAAGTAAAAGACAAAAATTAAATATTATTTGCAAGAGTTACAAATAGAACAAAAGAGAGTTGAAAATCAAATGATGGACAGGGATGTACCAGCTGAATGCTAAAGTAAAATTCACAGAAGTGACAGTATTAATATAAAAGTATATAAAAACACTACACAGGTATGTTTAACATGGAAGAAAGGTGAAATCCAGCAAGACTAGCAATGGACCCTTTGTGCACTCTATCCTGCTTTATCATATAGTGAGAAAATCTGTGTTTTTAATGCCTAAAAATTAAATGAGAAGTTAACATCTTATTAGGATGATGAAAAAAAAAAAACACAGAGAAAGGTATTAACCCATCCCTGGCATATTTCTGAAAAACTAATCAACCATCATGAGCCACCAAAAAAGCTGTAAAACAATTTCAGAACTAGAAATACAGGCTCTATTCGCTAAATGGTGCAATAAACAAATTAAAAGAACAGCCTGAACCCAAAATAAAATTTTAATCACCAGGAGCCCTTTCTCACCCCTGCGGAGGCTTTCCAGAAGGGGCTTGCGCAGGGGACTTGGCACTGAAGTGGCCGAGCTGTCGGGAGGGGCCTGAGTGGGCACTTCGAGGACCCAAGATTGTCTAAAGCCACAGGGAAAATGGTGGAAAACTCACCATCGCCATTGCCAGAAAGAACGATTTATGGCTTTGTTCTTTTCTCAAGCTCTCAATTTGGCTTCATCCTGTATCTTGTGTGGGCATTTATTCCTGAATCTTGGCTAAACTCCTTAGGATTATCCTATTGGCCTCAAAAATACTGGTCAGTTGCATTGCCCGTCTACTTCTTCATCACTATAGTAATTGGTTACGTACTCTTACTCCATTCATACAATCACAGATAACTATGCTAAAAATCAACAGCAGAAGAAATACCAAGAAGAGGCCATCCCAGCATTAAGAGATATTCCTGTTAGTGAAGTAAACCAAATGTTCTCCCTGACAACTAAATAACTTTATGCCAAAAACTAAATTGTATGTAGACTAACACTGAGCATTTCCTATAATTTTTTATATAATAATTTTGACTATAATTATTTTGACTCTCTCTCGTACCCAATATTGAAATGTAAACAATTAAGTTGATTCTTTTAGATTAAGTTGTATTAGTATTATAAAAGTTCCTATTAGTTATTAAGAGAATAAATAAAATACTGCATTACCGTATTTAAAAAAAATTTAATCACCAGGAAATGTAACCTAAAGGAAGATAATATTTGGTTTTAATCTTGAAAAAACAATATATTGCTTCTTAAGCAAATGAAAAGGCTTCCAGATAGAGGGGTAAATATATGCAAGAGCATTTAGTACAGAACCGAGCACACAATGAGCAATTTATAATAAGCAGTGTTATGAATGGACCATAGCAAGGCATAAGGAGGGATCAAGAATGACTAGAGGGGAACCTGGGTGGCTCATCAGGTTAAGCATCTGACTTCAGCTCAGGTCATGATCTGAGGGTCCTGGGATAGTCTCTCACATGGGGCTCCGTGCTTAGCAGGGAATCTGCTTCTCCCTCTCCCCCTCCCCCTGCTTGTGTGTGTGTGCACTCCCTAATAAAAAAAGAATGACTAGAAAAAATCTGGGGGTGCCTGGCTGGCTCAGCTGACGGAGCATGAGACTCTTCATCTCCGGGTTGGAAGTTCAAGCCCCGTATCGGGTGTAGAGATTACTTAAAAAAATATACAAAATCTTAAAAAAAAAAAAAAAAAAAAAAAATCTGTATATAGAACTGCCATCTCCTCAAAAAGTAAACAATGAAGGAATTGCTGGTTTCAAAGGGGCGAGGATCAAGGATTTCATTTTATATATGTTAAGTCTGATTTTGCAAAGTTCATGGCTAGAGATATAAATTTAGGTAGCCTTGACATACAGATGACATTTACAGTCATCAGAGTGAAAGAGGTTATCTAAGGAAGTCATGAGAAAAAGGCTCATGATTGAGCCCTAAGGAATTCTGACTGTGAAGCTGGGTCAACAGCCTACAGAAACAAAGCTAGAGGAAGTGGGGACACCAGGCAAGTGTGGAATCACATAAGGAGCAAGATTCAAAGGAAATAAAATCTGTCCAACACTGCTTGTTGGATGTAGGATGACACCTAGTACCCAAAGATCTAACAGTATTAAGATCACTGAACTTAGCAACAACTTAATTCTAGAGTATAAGCAAATTTCCTTTGCCTATTAACTCCCATGACATCTTCAGATCTCAGTTCAATTACTAGATCATGGAAGTCTTCCCAACTTCCCATTATAACCTCTTCAGTGCAACACATATAACTTTCCTTCAAAGCACTTACCAAATCATACTTTATAAGATTTCGTGACCTTTAACTATTAACTGCTTCCCCCTCTGAAAGTTCTATGAGGGCAGAGAATGCACAGGCTTTTTTTGAGTGTGTGGTTTGTTGTTTTCTTTCGGTTTTTATTTTTCTGCTTCTCACTAGCATACTGCCTGGCATGAAATAGGCAATCTAAAATATTTCCTAAAAGAGTAAGTAAATTAAAAATTCACTCTGCACCTGTTTTTAATGAGGAGAGAGATGTAGACATGTGTATAAATAAATACTCTTTTGAGAGATCTGAGTGAATAGAGGAAAAAAGGGTGGTGCTAGGAGAGGACAAGCTTAACGGTAAGCCTTTTGCTTTTTGTTTTATTTTAATGGGAGATCATGGACAGGCTGAGAAGTGATAAGCTGTATCTAGCAAAGGGAAAACATAAAGATGCCAGGGGAAAATGGGGCTAATTATAGTAGAAAGGTCCTTAAGAACAACATGGGAAGGAACAGGATTCAGAGTACTGGTGTAGGGAATTTGCTCTTGGCAAATGTAGGGAAAGTTCTTCCGTGGGCATAAAGAAAGTCAAGTTTTGGATTTGTAGAAGCATGAGGGGAATTTCTCTTTGATGATCTCCATTTTCCCCTGTGAAAAAAGAGTCCAGATAAGAAAAGGTTGGTACAGGAGAATGGAGAAGACACAAAATAGCTGTTTTTAGATAGTAGGATGATGACAAACCATTTAGAAAAACTTTCATGAAGCAAAATTTTTTTTTTTTTTTTTTTTTATGATTTTATTTATTTGACAGAGAGAGACACAGCCAGAGAGGGAACACAAGCAGGGGGAGCGGGAGAGGAAGAAGCAGGCTTCCCGCGGAGCAGGGAGTCCGATGCGGGGCTTGATCCCAGGACCCTGGGATCATGACCTGAGCCGAAGGCAGACGCTTAACGACTGAGCCACCCAGGCGCCCCGAAGCAAATATTTTTTTAAAAAGTAACCAGGGTTATTGTGGTCATGGTAAACAGGCACAAACTCATATACTGCTGTTAGAACCATAAATTGATGAAAACCTTTTCTGGCAATTATTTTATGATACCATATTCTTTTCTTAAATACCTATTTTCTTACCTATTTAAGAAAATACCTTCAAAGAAAAATAACCAAAGATGTTCACTATAATGTTTTTCGAAATAAAAGAAAAAGTATCTCACAAATATCTAACAATAGAGAATATTACAGATGATACACCTATAAAATACAATTCTATGCAAAAATGTTTATGAGGTTTCCAGTAAGAAAGGAAAATGATTATGTTGTAATATTAAGACAGATCAAATCACAGACATAATTTCAACTACATAATGTCCAGAAAAAAGGGAGAAAATATGTAGAATGTATTACTGAGGTCATCTTTTGTTAGATTATGGGTGACTATTTTTCTTTTCTGTTTAAAATCTGTACTTTCCAAATCTTCTTTATTGTATATGTATTGCTTTTATAATCATGAACCAAAAAAATGCTTTATCTCTTCTTTGGTTCACAAACCGTACCAACCAGACAAGATGAAGACACATTATCCCAGAGGTTTCCTGTTTCTAGTCAAGCAAACAATGAGCTCCTGTTTCCATATAGGAGGACCAGCAAGAGGCAAAATTATGAGACTTACTTTTTTTTCCAGTGTGTGTGGGAGGGAGGGGAAGTGGAGATATGATCAGAACCTAAATGTCTTCCTTAATAGTTGGAAAACAGAATTACGTGAGCTCCATTTCTGGGACTACAAAAATAGTGCCAAGTAAGGACAATTAAGTCAGTAGGAGCAGCTTAGATTCTTGGTATCAGATTCCCTACTTACCAAGACTGGAATTAATTCTCAGAAGACAATTACTGGTATCTCCAGTCACATACTGCAGGAGTCAAACTTACATGATGCTACTGGATATGGTTGTTTTTTTTCTCCCTTTTAGACTTTACCATGGCTAATATTTGGAATCATTCAATTATATAATTTGAATAAAGAGCCCATTGTACTGGGTGCTTCAGGGGATGTAACATAAGATACACATTCTCCTCCTAAGAAACTTACAATCTAATTGGAGGGTGGGATAAGCAAAGATATCTGTGCTGCAGAAATCTGTCTTCAAATTAGGAGACCTGGCTGTGCTACGTAGTAACTATGAGAGCTCTGTTTGACACAATCACTTAACATTCGATTATTCAC